GCAGGCTCGCAATCCTTTCAGCCGGTCGTAGTCGTACGTTGGGTCCTCCTCAATGGGCCAGTCACAACTTGATATGAGCTCTTCCAGCCTTTACCGTCATAAACGAATTCCTTCCTTCTCGCGGCACTGTGACAGACTTTCTTTTTCAGCCTTCGGCTGAGTTTATCTTCGCTCGAAGGAGGCGGTGATCGGAGCCACTGCAGAAGGATGGAACTACTGAGACATCGAGCAAGTTCCACCTTTTTTGGTGAGAATAAGGTCGATCTCCGCGTGAGTCATTCCGTTGGGCGATTCCCATGTCCACCGTCGATGTTCTTTCTTCATGGCGATTCCCATGTCCACCGGCGATGTTCTTTCTTCATGGCGATTCCCATGTCCACCGGCGATGTTCTTTCTTCATGGCGATTCCCATGTCCACCGGCGATGTTCTTCATGTTCTTCTTTCAGGAATTTCCATGGAAAAGTCGTGCGGCGGAGGGAAGCCCAACAAGACGGTTGCCTCTAAGCCCATATGCAAAATTCCCGATCCTGTATTCCCTTTCTAGTGGCATCCCGATTTTCGCATCAATCGCCCACAACATACTCGTAGAAAGACTTTTCGTTGCGGACAATCTCCTCCACGTCTTCTAGAAAGCATCTAGTTCTCAGTCACCAGCTGCTGATGTTGGAGAGTAGCAGTTGATGATGCTGATGGTCTTCTGACGTGGAGGGCGTAGTCGTAGGATGCCTAATCGAGGTGATAGGATCTCGTGCGAATCGACAAGATGGACGATAGATGGGTGGACGACAAAGCCAACGCCTCCAACGTTTCGTGATGGAACCTTTTCACCACGAATGATGATGTTCCCATCACTCATCTGTCGCACGTCCTTCTTCCTGGACGTCCTTTCCTGCAGAGCGATGATGTGGTAGTTGATGTGCTCTGCAGCGTCGAGAAGAGCGTGGAGGTCGGCGTTTCTGGAGACCGTCCTGGCGTTGTAAGTGCAGAGCATTAGGCAGTTTCCACAGCGTGTCGTTTGGGCAGACGTGTCGTTTTTGTCCAGTCCGGAAGGCGCCCTGGTACCCTGACATCGTTTTTGCTACCACCCGGCGCAGTAGGCGGGATACGATGTGCAGGGTTTCTTTCTAATCTTCTAACTGGAGGAGTAATATGGATTTTTCCCTACAAGAGGTGTACTAGGTCTACTCATGATTTCCACGGGGCGATCGCTGACCCCGGGCTTGAAGCGGGGACGGACCGCCTAGCGACCAAAGAAGCCAGACGGCGGGGGATCTGGCGTGGCCGGTTCTTAGCTAGACATCCGGCCGAGACTGGAAGCGTCGAACTCCTTCACAGTTTGGGAGACCCTGCCAGAGTATACACTCGGCTGTGCATCGCACTTCGACACCCAGTGTTACCCCACGCCACGATGAGGCGGCCGACCATTGTGGGGATTGGCCGGCCACTGCATCATCATCTGAGTATTAATGATTTGTAATAAGCTTCTTTTTCATAAGATTGGATTTGTATCATTTCGATATCTCAACATCTTTTCCTTGCACCTTTATTTACAAGCAGTCCAGTCTTGTCATGTTTACTAATATGCCCATTTTGCGCAAGAAAAAGCTCATAATTGGCTCGGGTTGGTGCGCGGCAGCTAGGAATAGCACATTTTGAATCAGCTTTTGAAGCTGATTCATAATATTTACGGGGTGTCCCAAAAAATGTAAAACTGTTTGAACGTTAATAGCTCTCTTGCTTTTATGTCTTTCGAGGAGCTTGAGGTATCATTCTGTAGAGCGGAATTCAGCTTAGACTTACAGTATGAACCGAATTACCAATCACTCTTCATTACTATAGGATTACCGTATGAATCTTCATCATAAAGCGCTACTGTGAATTGAGCCTTTTGGTTAAGAAATTTCTAAAAATCTGAAAATATGTGTGGGAAAGTTTTTGGGCGTGCTAATTTCACTACACAATTTTTCATTATTTTTTTCGGCTATTTCAGTTGTGTGAGCTTTTGACGAACACCGAAAAAACAGTTGTTACCCCAAACTTAGAATATCTTATGAAAGAAGCGTTACAGTGAAGTGCAAACTTCATATCTAGAATAAGCGACTTATGGTTAGATTAGTCGAGCTCAAGAGTTCTGACTTGTTTGATTTTCCTTCCGGGACAAAAACGGCTTCTTTTCGAAAGTCCTTGTCGAATTTCCTACCGTAATCTTACAGTAATGAAGAGCAATTGGTATTTTGGTTCATATTGTAAAATCTAAGCTGAATCTCGTTCTATAGAATGGTACTTCAAGCTCGGCGAAAAACATGAAAGCAAGAGAGTTATTAACTATCAAACAGTGTTCACATTTTTGGACACTCCGTATATGTCCGCTGCCGAAAGGCCGAGGTCAGTTAGGTTGCCTCCCTTTTTAGTACAGCCGAGTGCGATGTGTTGCGGAAGGTTTGCTGCTCCTGATGGTCTTGTTGCATTTAAATTTATAGATCTTCGACAAGCTTAATGCACGTCAAAGTTAAGGTTTACAAAACACCCATTATTTCAACCAACCTAATGTATGCTATATCGACCATTCCCTACCCTGCCCCACTGTTCAGTCAACTTGAGCGCAAATACCTCATTAACCGCCATGAAGACTTTGATCCAGGAGATTGTAGTACAGCAGAATCGAGTAATACCATGCTTCATATCTTGGTAACGAAATTCTAATAAATCGAAAAGTACGCAGTTTTTGCAATCACTGGGTATGTTCAAAGTCCATAAGGAGTTTTTACAGAACAGCAGATCATTTGCAATTGTCAAGTCTTTGTTACGCAAAACTTTGAAATTATGGCGTATGTTGTTTGATGGTTTTAAAATCAGGAGTTCGATTGTCGTTAGGCGTAGAACAGCAAATGTTCGACTATTTGTAAGAAAATTATGCTTTGGTGGTAATAGCTCTACTTATTGACTTGGTTTTCCTTTCGTCCCATTTTCTCTTTCATTATTTGACTTGTTTTGCTAGGTCGTTTCATAAGTTTGTGGAGTTTTCATTACCCTCATTTCTTCAAAGGGTTGGATTGCGAAATGCGTATATTTGAGAGGAGCCAGTGAAGCTCTTTATAATGAATGAACTAATCAGTTTTGACGGAAAACGGATCTATCTCGATTTTTGAATTTGCAAATATGGAAATTCTAGTAAGGTGAAAAGAAACATTTTCGGCATCTACTCATTTTTCTTGATGAAAGAAAGTTTTTGCGGTTTTGACTGATTACGGAAACTACCGCTTGCGAGACTAAGAAGGATTCGATTGATCTAAAGTTAAAGAATTGAGCATGTGTCTTCTTGAAGGCTTTCTTCGGGACGGACAGGTCGTTCTGCACTGAAACTCGCTGGACAATTAAATAGTGCACCACATTTTGCGCAGCTTCGCTCACCATCTTAATAAACCTCTAAGTGCACAAAATGCCTAATAAACAGGTCTATTGAGTTTTCTGAATGAAAATATTGCTCCGTGCGGCAAACGTTGCCAAAATTGTCCTGCGAGATGACCGGGAGACAAAATATTTAGTGTAATCCTCTGACCTTCCCTATCAGGCTACCATTTTTCGCTCTCTTGCAAATCATGTGAACGGTGCTTGTTTTGGCTCTGATGACGATCTCAGCTGTTAGTTAGGCAACTTTTTTGAGGTCAGATCTGCTAGATTTTGAAGACAGCCTGAAAATCTGACGAAATTTTTTTTTACGAAACTCTAAAGGCTTGTCTGAGGTGAAACTGGTGCTGAGGTTTTTACGACTCTTGAAACGTGTAATGATTAGCGGAAGTCTATGCTAGAAGTGTAAAATCCATAAAGCGTTCAGGCAGCAATCGTAGCCCCATTTGAATTCACAGCCTTTAGTTTTGAATAATTCGATTGAGCCGTCTCCCAAAAGCGCTTTGCAGATATCAAAGGCAGATTTGAAATCAGCGTTCCACGCTCTATAAGACACTTTATAATTCACAAGGAAACTAGATTTGACCAAGTATCCTTCCCTTGTGAATAAAAAAACGAACCAGTATTTTACGTTGTTCAGAGTGCATAGTGCACATTGCACTTCACAGCTCTCTTTATGGATCATATAAACCGTTGAAAATGCTGCTGTTAAAGTTTATTCAAATAAATGAAGTGATACAAGTTCTTTCCTCATCCGTTGACCTGCAACTTGAATGAATAGCATGTAAAGAAGGCTTACAAAGCATGGAATAACTATATAATTACAGATATAAATGAGTTACGGAGATAAGTGTGAGATAATCCGTAGAGTGAGAGCATACTAAAGCTTGAGACATTTAATTCAACAACTGCTTCCACACTCTAATTGTTGGTAGAAATTGGATTGTAGAGACGGCAAAACATTTTGTATTTACATCAAAATGAGCTGGCAGCATCAACTTTTGGGAAAAAAAGTATTTTTGACGATTGAGAAAAAATGCACACAGAAAAGTTCAAAACAGTTAATTTTGTAAATCATATATTGCCGATTATTTTCGCATCTAATCTACTAATTTTTCAATTCCTTGTTAATCTAAAAGCACTGACAAAAACTCTAAAGTACCAGATTTCAAATTTGCAGCTGAACAGCTTGAATGGCGTAAGTTAAGTGAGGTCTGAAGTTGTTATGATTTCCTTTCAGTGTTTGACTATTAGTAGTATTAGAATTATCAAAGTAAAGAACTTGGTCTGAACTGTGGACACTATCAAATCTTTAGAACAAAAAAAAAACAGCAGTCTGTGACAGGCATTCCTCTAAGTACATGGAGTGTCAAGCGATACACTGAAGCAATTCGTTCGCTATGTGTTCTAAAGTAGGTCTGCAAATGAATGGTTGACCAATATCAAGTGTTCAAAATAACTTGGAAAAAACTTAACCATTTGGAACTTATATTCAAAGTTTTCATCCAAAATAATCTGATTGTGAAGAAGAGTGAACTTAATACAGCAGAATCTCTTACTCTAGATAAGAAATTGGATATTTGCTTAAACACTCACGCCTTAATCAGTCATATTCAGCATGGTGGTGAAGTCGATGGTCTAAACATATGCACATTACTATAACTTTAAACAAAACTGTTTGCATAGTTAGCAGTATTGATGGGTATGATGCATTAAAGTGATCTTAGTGATCGTGCAGGAACGAAAGCAACTTTATTTTTTTCAAGATTCTGAGATGCATGCAAGCAAAAATTTGCTATATGTACAACCTTTTCTGTACCTTCTCTTTCTGACTGCAGAGCGCTCATTAATTGAAGTTGCGCAGATTTTGATGTGAGCTACAAACTTGCATAAAGTGCTTTTTTTGGTTTCCCCTCAAAAACACAATAAACATCATGCATTTTCAAAGGAAATTGGTAAAAAAAATTAGGTTTTGGTTTTGGAAACAAGATAGCCGCGCACAACCAGAATCATATTATCAAGAGAAGATTGTGGGCAACATACTGCTTAAAGCTGACTCAATAAGCTTTATAAAAAGGAAATAAGATTTTTTGGCGGCGTCAAAAAATTGAACAAGTTGAATTTGTCAAATCTGCACGACAGTCAATAATTGGGAAGCCAAACCAAAGAAGCTGCCGACTTTGCACGGTAAATAGCTAGACATGCTAAACCGAACATGATATAAAATTGCTGCTTAGATGATGTCACACTTCAATCTTACGAAAGAGGCCTTTTTGTGGAAATGAGTATTAATTCTAGTTAGCGTCGAATTGTGTATGTAGAATAATATCTCACAAATACCCAAGAAATTCCGACAAAGTATGGAGCAAACCAACTTTTCTCTCATACGTAAAGTTACAATTCCCTTTCTTCGCACGAAGAAAATTCGGTAAAAATGCTTGCATCAGTAGCGTAATCAAAGTTTATATCAACAGCAAGAGTAATGAGTGAATGCCCACATTTAAAAGGATAAAAGTGACTAGGCGTGGTAAAAGCTTTCGGGTTTTTCAGCAACGATTGATATCTGTCACTGATACAGGGTGTTTGAAAAGTTCGTGGCCTAAAGTACTTCTAATTCGAATTTTGATGCGTTTTTTGTTTTATTGTGCTCATCGGACCTAAATACCATCACTTCTGTAAAAATTAGATTTTTTTGTGGTTTCTTTGATTTTTTATTAGATTGAAACACATCAGAATAGCTTTCCAAACCCCTTCCCTCAAAACGCTTGTTACAAAAAAGGAAACATAATTTTCAGAAAACTTAGTATACCTTCTTAAAGCCCTTTCTTCAAGGTTTCCTGAAGTGTGCTCTCACTTTCGTAGAAGTAAGTTTGTTTGAAAAATATCGTACCGCGAAAGCCAAGAGATCCACTTTCAGGATCTTTTTGTCAAAAAGTCCAGCACCGAAATTTTTATATCTTATCTTAAAAACCTTTGCAAGCGTGCAAATTTCTCGAAAACGAATACAACGAAGGCCAGAGAGTTGTGCTACAAATACATGTTAAAATAAGACTTCTAAATTTTTTCAAACTGAAAAAATTTCAGCGCAAACAGGGTGCCGCGCCTGTCTGCTGTGATTCAGCGCATAAAAAATCTTTGTTGGCATGCTAATGTAGAACTTTTGTTATATAAAGAAAGTGTAAATCTAGGACTATTTGTAGTCAAAAAACCAAAAGCGTTTGCCTTTTCCGGCGTTGGAAAAAAAGAACAAAACAGATGATGCAATCTCCAAGGAAGCTGAAAAATTTTTTACTTCCAAGTTTTTTAGGGTATTTTGAGGCAAAAAATATTTTTCTTTGTTGATTCAGTGGTTTCAAGGTTTGGAGAACACATATAGCAAAAAACGCGCAAAATTCGAATTGGAAGTACTTTAGGCCACGAACTTTTCGAATACCCTGTATATTGATATCTTGATATAACTCAGGACTATCGGGGGTTCACCGAGTTCATGTTCTAGTATATATCCCGGTCAGCTTCCCATAGGTGACTCCGCGACGCGCCCGGCGCGCATGCCCTCAATTAGCTTTTCGTTCCATCTTCAATACAATTTTTTGCTCCTCTATCAAGTGACTTTGTTCTATTCTGTAGTTTCTCTAATTTGGCTGTACACAGCTCACGACAACTGCAGGTAATGAGTTTTTACGAGGCTTGACTGCTTAAAGGCATTTGTTTCAAAAATTCTTCTTTTTTTGCGATAGTGATTGAAGGATCAAGTCTTCAGAGTTTTCTATCACAGGCGAAACCGCTTCTAGGCCCTTTTCAATCCATCATTAAGGCTTTGCATCTACAATCGTGCTTAAAAGCTCAAACTTTCTATGTTCTTCATAACCGCAGAAGAAAAACATTATTCGGTGATCCTCGACTTTTTCTGTCACTTTCTGTCACTTTCTGTCACCCATCACTGCTAGTGTCATACTAGCATCGCTGAAGCAAATTAAAATCTAGGCCCTTATTGCTTAAGCTTTACTCAAATAGAGGTAGATGCATTACTTCTCATTTCACTCCTATTTTCACGTAGAATTACTTTGTTTTTAGGTGAAATCAGAAGCGTCAAGCTTAGCGCGCGTTGCGTGTGTGCCGCGGTGGTACCTATGGGAGACTGGCCCGGCACACACTATACACACTATAAGACAAAACACAGAAGATGGGCTCTATGACTCAATAATACTAACTGACTTTTGTTCCTATGTGTCATGGAAAAATGTGGACTAATAAGCCTGCCTAATCAATCTTCACACTTCGAAAACGACGCGTGCTATAATATGTCATGTATCAAAAAATCACAGGAGTTAGGCTTAGCTTAGTTTCACTACAAGAAGTATGGCAGTAAAGTTGCAAATATCTTACCTTCCTCAGATTCTCCCGCAAAGGAAGGGGGTCGATAGCCTGAAACAAAGTAAAATGGAGCTGTAATGCTAAAAGTTCGGAAGAGAGAAAGCCTACCTAAACGACGAAGAAACTTTCGGAAAAGGCGTGCATGCTGCATTCTGTCATCTGTCGCATAAAGTTTGAGTACCAAAACAGGCAAAGATGATACAAGGAATCTCACCTTCACCAGATCTTCTCATGAAAGAGGGCGGTCTTTCACCTGAAACTACATGAAGTAGAATCTTAATGTGGAGAAAGGTTCATCAAATGATGAGTCGTTATCGAAAACGATGGGCACTTTAGATCATTGTGTCATCTGTGTTGAAAATTAAAAGGTGGAAGGTTCAGTTTCAATGCAGGGAACATGACAGTAAAGTTGAGGGAATACCTTACCATCGTCAAATCTCGCTGAAGAAGCATGTAGTTTGTCTAAAACGACATATGGTGGGACTGTATTTTTGAAAATGCAGCAGAAATGAAGCTTACCCAAATGATGAAGAAGTCTTCGGAAATGGTGGAAACTGCGACGCATAGTGTCTTCTGTCAGAAACAGTATTTAAACAGGTGAAGATAGCGCAAAAGTGTCTCACCATCATCAGAACTCGCTGAAGAAAGAGGTCGTATGCCTAAAACGAGATATGGTGGGACTGTATGTTTGAAAATGCAGCAGGAATGAAGCTTACCCACATGATGAAGAAGTCTTCGGAAATGGTGGAAACCTGGAAGCATTCTGTCTTCTGTCAGAAACAGTATTTAAGCAGGTGAAGATAGCGAAAAAGTATCTCACCATCATCAGATTTCGCTGAGAAAGGCGGAAGCTGTCTTCCAGAAGGGCGAGCACGTCGAATCATTCTGTCTTCTGTCAGAAACTATTTAAACAGGTAAAGATAGCGCAGGCGTATCTCACCATCATCAAATCTCGCTGAGAAAGGCGGAAACTGTCTTCCAGAAGGGCGAGCACGTCGAATCATTCTGTCTTCTGTGAGAAACAGTATTTAAACAGGCGAAGATAGCGCAAAAGTATTTCACCATCATTAGATCTTCTTGAGAATGGCGCAAGCGGGCTTCTAAAACGGGGGAAACGGCGAAACATTCTATCGTCTGTTAAAAAATTGCAGAAGTTGTGCTTAGTCCAGTCTCGTCAGAATGGGCAGAAGTGTCTCACCGTCATCAAAGTGCTTCGCAAAAAATTGTGGGCGCTTTTCTAGAACAAAATAAGGTGAGAATGTGAAAAAGTGATAAGGGTAAAATCCCACCTTCATAGAACTTTTTCATGAAAAAGTGAGGCCTTTCATCTGAAAACAACCTAAACACAATGACGACGTGGATGACCAAAAAATTACCTGAATAGTAAGGCAGTCTTTGGTAACGGCGGGTAGGATGGGTTATGAGAAAATAGCCTAAAAATTGTCAGCGTAGTACTCTTAGTTACAGTATTTAGGAAAAAGTATAGAAGTTGAAATGTGGAGTTTAAGAATCTTACCGGCTTCATTTTCCCCCTCACATTCGTGTGGATTTTGCTCACCTGAAACAATCTAAAGTAGAATCAAAACTTTGAAATCTAGCAATATGGCTGTTTCTTGCGATACCAAACTTCTCTTGCATAATTTCTTTGCGCGTGGTTTCCCTCGTCCACCGTCCAGATGCTACCATTCTAAACTTTCTATTGCGAGCCTTAAATTTCCCTCTTCTACTTTACTCGTGCGTAGCATTGGCCGCTATACCTGATCCAACCCTCAAAGACAACTTACACCCTAATGCAAGGGCACATACATGTAGAGGGTCTTCCCATTGAGTCACTGCCCAGGTTTTACTTCAAACGCTCTTTTGGAATAGAAAAATGCTTCGAAATGACAAGGATGGCGAAGGACCCGGGGTTAGCCCTCCCCACCAGGGCTGCACGCACACACAGCGATTTCCCAAGCGCTATCGATGCCATACTATAAGCCGTTGTGTCTGTCATGCCAAGACGCACTCTACTTGCATCTAACCGGGTCTGCTTGGTGCAATCGTCCGCGATTGCCAAAGAGTTCTTCAGAAATGAGGTTTTTCGAAGCTGTTCGCCTCATATTTGAAAGCAGGGCTGTTTGAAGGTCTGCAGATGTTAAAAAGTTGGAAGTTAAAACATGGGTGGACGTTTCCTCAAGGCTTTCGACGTTGAACCTTTCTTTTGGAAACCAACGAGTACCTTAGCCTGTAATGTCTGCAAATCGCAAAAAAGAGCTAACCTGAGCATCCAGAGGCAGCGACAACGACTAACACAAGAGAGGCAAAGAAACGCATCGTCGTTGAAACCAGGAGATGCGTTGCCTGTCGAATGATTTGCGCTTTCTTCCCAGACTATTTATATTTAATACTTTGGCAGCAAAGACCAAGATTTTACAAGCGCCAAACGTGCACACATGGAAATTAGGTGCTCTCGATGAACCCTTGTGAAAAAAAATTTTCTATTATCGGTGCTCTTGATTAAAAAAGAAGAAATGCTTCCCATCTCTCCTAGCAAAGCAATCACCCTGATTCTCTTCATCCGATATGTTTAAGGGTTGGAGCGGTATTTATCATCTCCCACGCTACACGGCCCAGACAGGCGAGAGCATCCAAACCGTGGTTTCTGTGAGGCTATTAAGCATGGCCTGAACGGGTAGTAGGACCCGATCTGTCGAGAACGGGCCTACCGTGGCCGTCATGGCCAAACTTGCCAGATCGGACTCTTGAACCAGCGCAGTGCCCTAGGTGGAATCCAGATAGTATGAGTGTGATGGAAGCTTGTGATAATTAATATGGATCATTCCAGCATTCCATTTTATGCCATTTGATATGTACTCTCCTCATCGAGCCAAAAATAAGACTTTTAGACACATTTCTGCATTTGCAACTCTTCACACCGTTAGGAATTTGTCCCACAATACGAAATATTCAACGGATGGGTACTGGTATTTAGAGCGAACTAGCCGTTTCCATCACTCTCTAAAAAAATCATCCAATGCCTCTAATTTGCTTTCCTAATGTTGACGTGATAATTAAATGTGCATATAAATGCAAAAAAGCACTATATGATGCCTAAATACATATAAGATTGTCTCAAAAGTTAACTCCTCTAAGTAATTAAACTGCTTTGGTTTTCCTAGCAGATTTAGAGTATCCTTCGATACTCTAAATTTGCAATACTCTAAATCAAAGCAAGCTCTACAAAATGGCCGAAAAGATCCGCCCAAGACGGTGAAGCTTGACAAAATTGAAGAAAGTTCCATCACCCAGAAATTGATTTTTCCAAAGAAAAATCGTGGCCACTTAGTCATTATACATTATACTCATAGTAGTACTTAAATGTGCCTCTACTGGACTTTCTCCTCGCAAAAGTGAGAAGAAAAGATAGTTCGAAAATGGCAAACTCCGCCCCCAGCCCCTTCCGCACAACTCCTTTTATACTACAAGCCTTAGTAAACATCAGTATTTTACCTCCGCATCCACGCCGGTAATGGGGAAGTACCAAGTTTAACATGAAAAACTCGAAAAAAAAGTGAATTTTTGCAATTGGGCTATTTAATTTTTCAGTTTTGAGCTCATTATTTCATCCGCCCAATCTGAGCAAAAAACCATCATTTACTATACATTTTCTGAGTACTACGGTCTACCAAATGATGACAAAAGGAAACCCTATTTTTAGGGTAATTGAAGAAATTTGATTTTTGACTCCAAATTCTATCCATTCTATTTAGACGGATCTCTGGTGCCCATTTGTAGAACTTGCTCCGCTCTGTCGAATAATACCTAAGCCTGCTAAAAAACCAAGCAGCATGATCTACAAGAAGTTAACTTTTGGGACAGCCTAACATTATAAGTGTAATTCTCCTCTCAATTTTTGTTCGCTATAGCGAGTATAAGCCCCGCATTTCATTGAAAATGGTTGGCAGTCATCTTGTTGGCGAAAATCAAAAATATCTTTTTTATTATTATGTTAATTGCCACAGAAACGATGGTTGCGAAACGTAGAAAAAGCTTTTTGCTGTAAAAATTGTTATTTTGCAAGAATTATCAACAAATGTGAGCGCGTGATTTCCATTTGTGCATTATTCTATTCTATTGAAACATTATTGTACCGTATCTCGAAGCGAAAAATTTTACGACATGATCTTTATTTCGAAGATTAATCAGTCATTGATCCAATGAAAATTCTGACTACCAAAATTTTTCAAGGTAATAAAACCTTAAATACGTTTCTCCTCTCATCCCTCCTCGGGTGTTAGCGTAGTTTTTGAAGGGAGCAACAACACAAGCAGTTACGAGTACGTTGCATGCTGATTATCTGCTGCATTTCGGTTGTGATAGTTAGTCACGATTGGGCGTGTTGGAAAACTATCACAACTGAAATGCAAGATGATCGGTACACAATAGATCCGTGATTGTTTGCCTTGTTGGAAGAATCGCGGCGATAAAATCGCGTGAACACTGCCCGAGACCTTAAAGGGAAAATGTTTGTCTTGAAATTATCTGCTCTCCTCGATTCACGTTTACATCGAGATTTCCAACAGCAACATATGCTGTTTCGGGTATGTTTTCGTATCCGATTCGCTTGTATTAGAGGTCTTCTCTGCAACGTAAAATTTGATCTCAGTTATAAGAGCTTGTGTCAAAAAATGGATCTGTTGCATGGTAAGGTTTTTCAAAATTCTCAACACTTTGCAAAATAGAATTGAAGTTCATTCGAACAGGTAAACACTTTTTCTATATTGAACAATGCATGAGCACCTGCTTACTATTGCTGTTCATGTATGTAATGATAACAATGTTCAATTAGAGTTATTCGAACAGCTTTGATTGGCGGTGAGAAATTTCTTGTTTGCAGCGTTCGCCTACATTTCTACACCTACACAGCTGGAGGGAATGGGCGAGGGATTCCGCCAACTGGCTGCCTAAGAATTGGCGCACTCCGAAAAAATTTTTGGGATGCTTCCCAAAATTTTTTCGGGCCCCTGACCTAGAAATTCAGAAATAAGGGGCGTTGCTGTTTTTTACAAAGCTAATCCGGATTTTAAAAAATTTTCAAAAATTATTTTAATTATTTAGAAATAAAAACAAGTCACTTGCACATCTTTATAACACATTTAAGTATTAGATTGTCTGGAAATTAATGCAGGTTTCTGCAAATGCAATTTCAAAAGGATCGTTCTTCTGCGTATGTGCATCTTTCGACCACTTTCGCATACTAAACGAAGCCGCTCTTCCTGCTCTCTCTAACGTATACTACTTCTACGACCAACTTCGTTTGTTCAAAATCTACAACCATTCGAAGATAAAGCTTTAAATTACTAATTTACTCTTTGCACTATTTTGGCTTGAACTTATTCGGCAAGAGAGGTATTTCCATGATAATATAGCTGAAGCAAGATGTTGAATGAACCTACAAAATGGATGGTAGCGCTTCTTTTGAACGATTGTGAGAGTAGAGAAACTGAGGCTTTACCATGATTAATTGTCGCGCCCACTTCATGGCGTAGAAAACTTTTTTAAAGAAAGCAACCGTGAAAGTCTCTCCTCATGCTTGAAGAGTAAGGCCAGTGCCCTCAGATAATATCTCAATTGGTACCTCCCGGACTTCCTTTTTGATGAATTAATAAAAAAATCAAAATTATCGAGATCGTAGCCGTGGAGGAAATATCGAAAAAATGAAAAATTTTGATTCCGCAAATTTTTCTTTCGCAGAAAACTTCTAAAAAATCTTCTGCATAGCTATATATGTAGTACTAGTCCGTGGCTATAAGCTACAGAAGTTTCTGGCTGAACACTCATATTCGGTAGGAATTTACAACTTGCCAAGTATGACCTTGTCAAAATAATTCCTTTTTACTTTCTGGCTTTCAGTAATTTGCTTGTTGGAGCTACAGTTACAAAAGAAAATGTCGCAGATAGAAAAAGACTTGCTGATCACAATAGTTTTTACCTCATTTCAAAATATGCAATTTCAAAGGAGTTATGACGCTTTGAAGTGAGAATATGCAAAGCCTGCATTAATTTCCGGACAACCTAATAACTTTCAAAAATCTCGAGTTATATATTCGTTATTGTCAGGGAAGTACAAGTTTGAGCTTGTCTAGACAATGTGGTCAAAGCGGTCTCGAGTGTCTTGGGTTACCTGCAGTTCACGAGAGATACAGTGAAGCCACTAGCCTGCTCCATGACGAAGGCGCAATATCTTCTAGCGCGAATGCGGTTTAATTAGCCGCAGGGTGCATGAGGCGCAGGATATATAACGGTGAAAATAGCGCGCGCAGCTCTCGCACCCTCTCATCTAATACTGCTATTACGCCTTCGTTATGTAGCAGCCTTTAGAATTACTCGTTTCTCGGCATTTTGTTGGAGAGTGGTGCGCACTTTTTCAAGTCCAAAGTATGCACAACTGTTCAAGAGTGTTTGGCTTCGAAGCCAACGCATTATTCTAGAGTCATGTAGAGGTATAAACGCGAGAATTGCAGACCGGTCCGATCCGCTCTCACACTATCCTTTGGTTCAACTTGGTGTATGAGGTAATTAGAGCAGATTATCCATGCAAATTCCTGTACAAAGCTGAGTTTTCCGGAACGAGATGCTAATAAAGTTATGTGGCTAAGCGTTTAAGAGCGTTCTTATACTTTTTGAGCGAATTATTTGATGGACAAGGATTGGACAAGTATATATTAGGTTGGTGCAAAAATAATGAGCGTTTTTATTTGCTTGCTTTAACAAAGCAACCATTCTCAACCCAACAAAGGGTAAGGGGTACTGTTCGATAGAGCAAAGCAAGCTCTACAAGATGGCACTTATGCCTTTGCGCCATGCTCAATCCACGGAGAGTTCGAACTCAAAATCTAAAGATTTCCAAATGCCCAAAAAATCGAGAAAAAAAATCAGATCTTCGTCCAAATAATTTCTACGGACCTCCCACTCTCTCACATCAATACTATCGATACCTGATATCCATATGTGCGATTGCCGTATTTTTTCCTTGACTAGAAACTGAAGAAACGAAAACTTCCCTGATTTTCTCAAAGCAATGCTGAGCCGTTTTTGCATATGCAGTTCTATACTACTAGCCTAGGTAAGCATAACTGTAGATTTTCAGCCCATTCCAAGCGATAGTTTTCGAAAAATAACGAATTCGGATTTTTTCGTTTCAGTTTCAGTGCTAAAATCGACATTTCTCGAAAAGTACCGCTCGAAATAGGCTGAAAACCTACAGTTACGCTCACCTAGGCTAGTAGTATAGAACTACATATGCAAAAACGGCTCAGCATTGCTTTGAGAAAATCAGGGAAATTTTCGTTTTCTCAGTTTCTAGTCAAGGAAAAAATACGGCAATCGCACATATGGATATCAGGTATCGATAGTATTGATGTGAGCGAGTGGGAGGTCCGTAGAAATTATTTGGACGAAGATCTGATTTTTTTCGATTTTTTGGGCATTTGGAAATCTTTAGATTTTGAGTTCGAACTCTCAGTGGATCGAGCATGGCGCAAAGACATGAGTGCCATCTTGTAAAGCTTGCTTTGCTCTATCGAACAGTACCCCTTACCCTTTGTTGGGTTGAGACTGGTTGCTTTGTTAAAGCAAGCAAATAAAAACGCTCATTATTTTTGCATCAACCTAACATAACCTATTCATGTGGCTTGATCGCCACAAAACTTGATTTCAAACCAATCTTCTGTATACACTCCCTGTTGCGCGCGTTTCTTGATTAAGAATTCAAATGCGCAACCGGAATGAAACATTTAGGTCCGCGTGGATCATTGTACGATATTCATTAACGGTGGGTTCTATTCAACATAGTCATGCTCAACAACATTCTATTTATGCACAGAAACGACCTCTATGTTCGTATCCGCTCCGCGTTGCGATGAATTTTGCGAGCGGTACGTTGCGTTCGCCGTACGCACGCTGTCTGGCCCATTAGGCTGGGTTTATACTGATCCCGAAGTTCCGGAACAGTTCTAGCACAATTCTCGCACTATGCTGGAATTGTGCTGGAACTGTGCTGCATGCGCTCAGCCGCCGTATGCGGTTTTGAGCGGCGCGAAATGGCAATTTTTGACTTTCTTCAACGGTTTTGAATGTAAACTTTGCTCATGCTCCTCTCTCGCATCTTGCTTTTCTTTTGTGATGTAGAGAACTACGAACTCAAAGCGGGATTCGAGAGTCAAACATTTCCTGTCATGTCTCGCGTAAATTATATATTCCTTTGCATGCCTCATCCCTTCGTGATTTTCTTGTGAATGCTGTCTTCAGAGAGAAATGGTACCATCACAGTTGCAGAAATCGCGAATTTTTTTGTGTTTTCATGATATTGGGTTTTCGGTGTTTCAGCTCATTTCTTTTCCCAACTTTTACTGATTGCTCTTTGTTCTTGATTACTATTCCGCGGGTGGAAGACTATATATCTCCGAGTTTGGGAGCATCGCGCGGAGCTTCTTGCAAGAATACACCTTCGAGCATCTGCAAGAGTGCGTATTTGTTGCAAATGACTGCAGAGGCCGCCCCTTTTCGGCGATGTATAATTCTCTACCCCTGTTCCGCTTCTGTTAAAAAACCTCCGAACTTGGAGAAATGTACACGAATGGAAGCCATCAATTTGCGACGGTCAGCTGATGCACAAAATGAAATAGCGCTCATTCTTGTATCCTTCTTCAATTTTGACTTTTTCTATCACAAGAGTAAGCGAATTACGAGAAAGAGGTGAAAACGAGCAAAATTTACTTTGAAACCCTTGAAGAAAGCTAAAGGTTGTTATTTTGCGCCGCTCAAAACCGCATGCGGGGTGCTGTGCATGCAGCTCAGTCCCAGGAGAGTTCCAGCACAGTGCGAGAACTGTGCAGGAACTGTTGCGGAGCATCGGAATCAGCATGAACCAAACCTTAAGACAATGGCCCGTAGTAAACCCCCCATCCGGGCATCTCTCTCGACGCGGACCGAAGTTGAGGTCATCGCGCTTCAGTCCAGCATTCAGTGAGCTATTGATTTGGATGTGGATCGCTTCCTAGACATGATAACCACATGTGTTCTCAAAAAACCAACCACTTGAGCTGGTCTGGTCAAACGGATAAGCGATTGGAATCACGCGTGCGCGGTCGTGGTTCGACACCGGCTAGCGACACAACTTCTGCTGCATCGCCGGACAATCTTTGATAGCGGCCACTGTCGAAAAAAATCGATGATGACCGCTAACAAGGATATCACTTAGCAAATGGACAGATAAAACAAAACTGACATATTTTGACGGAGAATTCATGAAAAACTGAAATTTTTGGAGCATAAATAAAACGTAATAAATAAGTAGATTCTCTTCTAAAGTAGTTTTTACAAGAAACTAAGATTGCTCTGCAAAAAAAAGAAGAAAACTTTTATCCTTGCTTTTGTCGCCAAAATCAGCTGTTCGTCGATCCTTCCCTTTTCGGGCGTTGGTATTGTGCAGTTTTGCGCCGATTTTTCCTGCATTTTTTGGCAAAGTTGTGTGTATCGTAAGTTACTCAGGAGCAACTTATGCTAGATGCAGTCACCTCTTGTCTGCGTCTCCTCTTCTGCACACTATTTGGATCACTCAAACATCCGTTCACGTTGAGGTGACTTGAACGTGAACTGATGTGGAAGAGTTGACTGCGGCAGGTGGACAGATGGTCAACTATCAGTTGACTTGACCATCTTATAGCATGGGAACGTGGACGGTGATCAGCTCACCTCACCTAAGGTGAACTGATGGGATAAGTTGAGTTCACCTCAATGATCGAGCTTTACTACGGGCCAATGTATGCGCCGCAAGTATCTTTGTGAAGCGTCAAAATTATTAGCTTTATCTCCATCAAGATTTGCTTTTTGATAATCTAAGCGACTTTTTTTGAGGTTGGGGTGCAGTTCATTGGAATCATTGATAGTGATCTGATTTCGCTCAGAGAATTTTGCGAAACGACTTTTCCAAAACTTCTCAACACGTTTCGGACCACGAAATCGCGCGCGGCAAAAAATAGTGTACTTTCAGTCCTTGGCCAATAAAGGGACCTTACTTCGTAGACTCTGGGCTACGTCTGAATTAACATGCCAGATAAGCTCCATACCCAAATTTCTGAGTGAAGTTCAAGTGTTTGAATTTTGTCGCTTGAGAGGAATCTCTGCGCTTTCTTGAAATAGGAACAAGAACTTTCTCTAATAGTGATAAAAAGTATCTACATGTACACGATACACATCAATATTGAAACTACGGTCTTTTTGTATAGAATAAAGGCAAAGAAAACTTGCGACGTCGCATGCGTCGTCTGCGTTGCCGCACTTCGTAGCAACTGTTGTTCAAAGTGTCCTCATATCTCCTAGACAAATATCGGCGGCACAGCTCTACAGAGTCATTTGAAAAGTAGGAGCTTAGGTCTTTGACTTGATAACTTTGGACTGAAAGAAATCCTCCTGCAAACGTCAAAAAGATCCTTCATAGCAGCGTGCAGCACCATGTGCAGCACCGTTCCGAAACGTGTTAAGCCCCTCTATGTCTGGGCTTTAGACATGTTAAAGTGTATCGCTGAAGATATGTCTACGCTTGGAGTGTCGAATATATTGACTCACTTTCAGGTCCTGAAAAAGACGACCCTGCCGAAACGTCAACCTGTTTACTAATGGTGCTGATGTCGTTGTATTGACAAACTGGCAAAAAATCTTGGAAACGCTAACTATTTACTGAGAACTAATTATTGAACATAAAATTTGATCATTTCTCTTTTCAGTTTCTTGCATTTGTGATCCACTTGCCCCCATGTCTCGCTTACTCTAACATAGTCAGACACCGCCTAAAGGACATTTTTTTCGTATAGTGCTGCTAGGCAAGAGCAGCCGTTATCTGTTGATTGAAGTGACAGAAGCGAGAAGAGATTTGGTAAAAGAAACTTCCGGACAATTAGAGATGGTTTAGGATTCAGCTGTGACTCTCTTTGTTTGATTACACATGCCTAAGAGCAATGGTAATCTCGCTCATGGGACTGCTCTCTCTCTTTCTCTTTCTTTCTCACTCTTTCTCTCTCTCTTTCTCTCTCAGTCTCTCTCTCTTTCTCTACCTTTTTATGCAAGCTTAAGCTTTTTTATCCTTTTTTATCATTTTGCTTTTTTTTCGTAGTTTTACTTTGAATACGACGGAGTCATTTTACATGCTCAATCACGCATCGTGTTCAAATCAATTTTTAAAAGTTCGATTCTCCTCAATTATTATGCTCGAAGACCATGAAGTTATCTGCAGCTGCATATGCGCAACTGCAACCTATATTCTACTTCTAGACGGAGGAGCATCATTGCCTTTATTTATCAAAACTTGCCTTTAGCCCACACGCAAAGTACGGCATCTCGTGAGGGGACGGGGGGGGGGGGGAGAGTGGGCCCAAAACTGATTTTTCGTCATGAAGGCGATAGTTGGGGCAGAGCTTGAAGCGCATGTCTGTTCCTTTCTTCTATGTGGCTGTGGGATTTGAAGGAATCTTAGCTTACGCAGGCAGAAGTTTTTCCATAAATACCCTGGTAATTTGAACATAATTCTTCTTGTATAGAAAAATCGATACTTCTGCAAACAATTGAGTATGAACAGCGTTGACTTTTCTCGAATTTTTGATGAAAATATGAAATACGAATATGAACTGTATCCGGTCAGATTCGCTCGAGCCTCTTGCTCAATCACCTGAAGAAAAGATATTCACTGACAAAAAAGGCTGAAAAACAGGCTTCGACCCCAAAGTGGTGTTCTGCGCATGTACCACGGATGTGGCGATGCTGATGGATAGGTCTTAACCCCTGTCCAAATGCAACATGAGATCTTTCGAAAGCTTCTGAGGATGAGATTTTTGAAAATGAACTCAAAAGTATACCAGATATTCGCCGACGTTTCAACGTACATTTCACAGTGTGGTTCTGCTATGAGTGGTTGATTCGGCCAAACAAATGAATGTCTTTTCTCAACAGGTCTTGAAGCTGCGCCTTTGATTTCTGACTAAACTAGGTCATCAAGAGATGTGCACTTATCTCAAGGAAGTTCTATGAGGAAACAGTCTGAATATGAGTTTGAAGTGTGACAAAAATGTGAAGAGCACTACTTCAATTGTACCGTTACGGAAAATACTAATACACGCACTTAACAGTGAAGACGAAGTTACTTTCTCTATCCAAGTAGGATAATGATTGCACTTGTCAGTGTTTAAGTATGCGCTGCTTTGTTCTGTTCTCTTAACTTCTTCAATCCTTTCGGAAAGAAGCAAGAAAGACTATATAAGTCTCTGTTCAACATGCACATGATGCTACTTTGCCATGATTACTTCCTACATCTTTGTTTTATTTGCTGCATTCATCAGGTAAGGAAACATACGAGTAGTTCTGGAACTTTCACTTATGCCCTTCATAGAAGACGTAAAATTTTTTATGTCAGCATAGTTGCACATAGTAGTTTTCGTTTGACCGTATCCAACACACAAAAAACGGTATGTGCAAACTAACACGACCTTATATGCAAGGAAACATGCTGATAACCAAACTTTTCCATTTTCTTTTTCATGTGATTTACTTACTGTTGCAGGTTCTGCGCAGGAGTGCCGTATCAAATAGTTAGTGGTTCGTTTGATTTTGTTGTATACATTGGAAAATTTAACCTTTACACAAAGATATCAGTGGTGTAAAAGACTGTAGCGATTAGTTTGTATGCACCACAATAGAAATGAAATTTTATAAAATCTAACATACAAACTTAAAGTACTCAACATACTAGTCTGAGCGTTTTTTTCTGGTCTGTATGAATGGTATTAACAGTCAACTTATAAAAAATTAAATTTATTGCATGTGAATGCAATAGGATTGATTTTTTCGGCATCCACGACTCCCAAGAACATCCTTTTACAGGTTATCGCTTCGGCTTTCCTCATTACAATAGTTACGAGAGGATTCCTCCTACAGCAGCTGTGTTGTCCTTCCTAATTTCCCCAATAATCGGGCAAGTTATTCCAATGCAATTGATAGCTCCAGATGTGTTAACGATACCAGTCATGACAACACCATACGTATCCTCGCTGTATGCATACGCTCATGTGAGCTTTACCATTGTTGTGTATTCTCTGTTCGTAGTGATTGCCAATTTTTGCTTTAGTACCCCTCACTTCATCGTCCACACACGCGGACTGAAATACGCAACATTGTACATGACTATTCCAAAGGTAATCATTCTTTGACAACCACTGTTCGATAAGATTATGTTTTCTTTCAGAAAATGGACACGTTTCCGAAACTTCTGCAGACACCGACGCTCATCCACTCACGCCAGCAACCATCACAGACCGACTAGCTCTTACCTCATTTCCCGAAGAGCGTGCAGTTATAGCACCAATACCGGCATCATCGGTGTCAGCACCTACATTCCCAACATTATTGAATGACTCAATTCAACGAAAATTGTTTGCAAAGAAAGCAACACTCGCTGGAAAGATTAATTTATGAAGTCGGAATTCTCAAAAGTTGCTCACGATGATACCATGCTAGGATTTCGAGAGACCCGATTTGAGTTAATAATAGATGTCTTTTATTTGAGTGTTGAATCTCTTGACTGTAAATAGAATCTGGAGATAAGGCAAACAAGAGCGCACAGCGTAATGTAGAATGTTCAGCACACGCATGAATGAAATTTCTTAACGCGTTTCATCTTACAAAGGCTGGCCAAGGTTTTTGGGAGACACAGACATTATCTTTGTATTGCAAATGAAAAGTTTTTGGCAGTATATCACAACAAAGGAAAAACACAACTTCGGCGAGTAGGAATGGAGGTGATAGAGAACAAGTATGGAGTAGAATATGCAAACATTAGAAGAACACAGTTCAATACCTTTTATAATTTTCATGTCCACATATCGTCAAAATGACTCGCTTAAGATAGCGGCAAAGAGGAAAAACCGATAGTAGTACTTGCAATTGTCAAAGCAGCTGCTTTTGGAAATCTAAGTTTTGTTTTACTCCCATGAATACAAGCATCTAATCGAAGTATCATCACTTGCACTCGCTTTGCTGGAAATTGTTTGAAGTGCTGGGCACTTCATTTTGTCGGAGATGAGTTGCTCATCTAGACGAAAAATGTGTTATAATAGTTAGCATAATAGGACGGATAAGCAGGATACTGAGGGTAGTAGTAGCTTTGTCTTTGTGCGTAGCCGTATTGAGATTGCTGCCTCTTGTCTCTGAAGTAGTGCTGGAGGCTTTGAGAAGGGAAATGTCGTTTAGACCGTATTAGCGCTGCTGACTGTGGAAATAAGGCAGAGGCGATAAACAAGAATAGTAATATGACCAACATTGTTCCTTGACTCTTAAGACCCTGAAGCTCCATTATATACTGCTCACAGGTGAACGCGGAACTAGATTCGTGTTGAACACTGCTGATCAACGGGTACAATATGTTCACTTTCGCTGCGCCCGATATCATGCGCTATATTTGATCCGAAAAGCCAGTAGAATGTTGTGGATAAGAACGTGCAGGAAATGATATCATCTAGCGTGAATAACACACTATTAGCTTATCCGTCATAAGCGACAGATCTAGAACTCAATGACGTGGGATTCATCGTCACATTGTACTAGAGATATTTTATAATATGTTAAACAGATGTACAACATTTTATAGCATGCAGAGGCGAATTTGCTGCAAACACGCACAATTTGAAGACAAAAAACTGGCCGCTGTTTCTTCTCATTTTTTGCCTCCATTTTCCCGTAAGTTGTTCGCATCCTGTGTAAAACTCTATGAACAAATAATTCAAAGGAATTTCTACAGTGTAACTTCACCCATTCATTATAACATCGAAATTTGCGCTGGATATGCAATTTGTTGTGCACAATATAACACTTGATCAGGCCTCTCGACGTATACAATCGCAACTCATATCTGCTACTTACTAATGTCATCGATAAACGAAGTTGCATTATCTACAGGGCCCGCCAAAAGCCTGGAAGCCTGTAATTGAAAATTTCCTGATAGATTTGATTTAAGTTTCAAGCCCCATGATGCTGCACTCATCATCTACAAAACGTACTGTTCCCAGATTAGAATGGCTGCCATATGTATTTGTAAGAGCTGGAATTATCAAACTTAACTTTTGCAGAGCGAGATAATCGAACATCTAGTATTCACAATTCATTCCGCAGATGGACTAAAAATATTCTACAATAATTCAGTGCATACAATGTAGAGGAGGCTTTGCCTATTGCATCACGGTGAATCTATTCATTAGAAAGCGGAAAATGAAAATATGCAAATGTTACTTGTGTACCGCTTGGCTATTGTCTTGAAATGAATTTGAAATGGAGCTAATAGAAATGCAGCAGTCACTGGATTTTGTTCTTCCCCAATTCCTTGTTTCTATGTGCTTCCATTCTGATTTGACCCGAAGACTGGAACTAACGCAATACTATAAGTAAGTACCGTCGATGAAAACAGATCCTTCAACACATATCTTTGCCTTGTCCACAAGCTGGATTTGAGTATATAGAAGTAGGCATAATGCACGCTCTGCGAGATTGCAGATGTGATTTTTGCCAGTTAAGAATATTATTCCAATGACATTCTGCTTATAGTTTCAGGCTAAAGAAGACTACTTTATAGCTCCGACAAAATAATTCTTGAAATTTCAGAAGTTCAACGAATAACAAATATATTTATCAATCCCATAAGAGAGCGGAGGCAGTTGTGCAAGGACGGATGAGAGTCTTGCAAACAAAATCAAATCAACTTGTGTTGTTGGCTTTCTGCCGTTTATATTCATAAACTAGCGACCCTACGGGTCGCTAGCAAGTGGGTTGTGGCTGATACATTTGAAGCTGCAGCATTCTTGCGACTATGAGTTACAACAAACAGATCTATCAATTTGACGATTTTTTTCACCTAATATGATAAAACAGGAGTTCGAGACTGTTGCCACAATACCGTACTTTTGAAGAAATAGGCATTAAGCAATGAGTGGATAGCTATAATTCAACCTTTGTTGTACTGCAAAAGCATCTTAGCAAGAGCTGGGTCCATTTTTTCATATTTGAAATCACCACCAATCATCTATTATGTAGCACATCTGATCCGAGCCGAAACGCAGCTCATCTTCTAATGGTGTGCCTCTCAGCCGGAAAAGCGCTAAGCATAATATTCGACTAAAGCTTGCACATCGCTTTTTCTGTAGCTACAAAATTATCGTCAAAATGTAAACATTCAGAAACTAATTTTACGTATTTCGTGTGTTCTTTGTTCGTAAAATCTGGCATTTCTTTCTTAACAAACCTGCGTGGCACGAGAAACTTCAAGTTAATCTCACATTCTGAAGCTACCGCTAAAATATTCTTTATAGCCTGCCTCAGTCATCATTGAGCAGTCATTTAGCCAGAATCTGCTCACTGCTGGGTGTGAAATTAGGATTACTCAAAGGCAGTGTCCAAGCAAAAAGTCGATTTCGAGATTTTGTGCTTACCTGGGCCTATTCGCTATGCTGAATCAGAAAATCAACAGCGGAGAGCGCGAAAACGACGAAAAAAAGCTTTAACGAAGGAGGGAAGTTGCAGGTGGGCGGGGCTGCTCACATAGCCGCGTCACCCTCCCACTTCACGGGCGATTTTCTCGCTTTCGCTAGTCGCCCTATCATGACCACCAGCCGACTGCGAAACGCATGACATAAGATCGAAACCAAGAAGATCGCTCCTAAAGCCTAGGAGGGTGACGTCACTGTATGGATGGCCCCACCCACCTCCTTTCCCTCCGGCGTTAGGGCCTTTTTGCGCCGTTTCGCGCTTTCCAATGTGGTTTATCGGATTCAGCATGGCGAATAGGTCCGGGTAAGCACAAAATCTCAAAATCGACTTTTTCCTTGGACACTGCCTTTAATGTGGTACTCCTCAAAGACGAGGCTTTTCGGAAATTCATAACCAAATGTCCAGCGAGATCAAAGTGTACAATTTGCAGCTTTGGAAGGATAAATATTAGGTTGGCTAAAAAATAAGTTCGGTCGTTCAACGGTTTGTACAAATCTTGCAAATTACTTTGTCTAAGAATGTTTCGTACCATTAGAAAGAGCAAATCAGGGAGAATCGGATGATTGACCCTGTTTGAGCGCCAATCATCATTTTGACTACGAAATTGTGCAGGAAATGGAAATAGTCAGATTTTTCCATCGAATTTTCGAAAAATCATGCCCCGAAAAATGAGCTGAAGTTGGGTGCAAAATGCATAACTGGCCTCCACACCACGAATTCTGAAATTTTCAACAATTTGCATAGCCATTGATGGTCAAACTCGAGCGATTCGGACTGCCCAAAAACTGACTCTCATGCGCAAATGCCTGCAAATTCTTACATTTTTTGCTGCAGAAATTCACAAACAACAGATCACTATGTCCACTGTGGTTCGCCATGTAGCCAAAGGTTGTATACACCTAATCACCAAGTTAGTCATCTGTGCGCTCACTACGGGCTGAGAACGATACTTAGAAATTCAAAGAAGCGAATTTTTAAGGGGCTAGACATATAAGGGCATACTTGCTAATCATTGATGACCAAGAACTGCGACTATTTGACATGTGATAGTAGAGGGTTGAAGCTACCTCCTGGCAAAAAAATCTCTGCTAAATATCTGCTAGTCGATTTCTTACAGACTTTCGAAAAAGCATGTCAAACCGAACTTATTTATTAGCCAACCTAATAGAATTACTTTAAACTATTTGAAAAACTCATGAAACGCTGCGAAAAATATTTCGTTGAACGTGCATTGTCGTTGAAATTGTCAGGTCTTTTCCAACAAGAAAAAGGTTTGCACATTTGAATTCGGATAGCAGGATAGTGTTTTCCTAAAGTTTCAGTGATTGTCAGGAATTCAAAGGATTAAACTCAGAGACCTTCTCGCCAGAAGTAGCGCGAAACTCTGTTCCCTAGAATCACATACAGTGCAAAGAATTTCTTTTTTCATCCCAATGCTTTCTGCCAAACTGACGCACCTCCCCGCCCCCTCCCCAAATTCCAGGAAATGCATAAGATTTTCTTTTTTGAGGCATCTCTCTAGAAGTGAGGCGGAAGCCTCCAAACACCCCTCGCTTCCCCTTCTAGAAGCACCGCCATCTCTGCCACATCCTGAAGTTCTTTGCAGTGAATCCGATGCCTTTGACATTCCCAGGTTTCCCTCCAGAGGCCTCAGTATCCTACCAGAAGTACGGGTATAATTTTACATCCTCAAAAGTCCTTGCAAAAAAAAACCGCTACTGAGTGAAACGGAACCCTTAGACACCCCTTTTTTGAGAAAACTATACGGATTTTATTCAAAATTACAAACTCTACACAGTGAATCTTCTAGTCAAATGATGCGGACCCTCCCTCTCACCCTCCTCCCTTGGATTCTATGCAAGGATTTCTTAAAGCTTCTCTTTAGATGTGACGCTGAACGCTTCAGACCCCCCTCAGTTTTTTACCCAGCCGCCATTTGTCTCACAGTCATTATAGTAATTCAATTCAATTTTTCATTCCAATGCTATATGAGGATAAGAAAGCAAAGCCCCACAAATACCCTCCAATTCTCTTACCAAAAAAGCAAGAATTACTTTCAAAGTCCATACAGTGCATCAAAACTTTT